CATATCTGGTAATTAATGAAGAAGCTTTGGCATAATTTTAGTAACAACAATAGTTCTCTGAATTAGATTAGTATATTGTAAAAAATAGTCGATCGCGCAGGAAGTCATTAGAAACTTCTTCGAACTATGTCAGAGAAATACATGTCTTGAGATGATACAAAGATTTTCAAATCTTCAATATGTTCCGTAAAACGATAAATTTTGACAGGGCAGAATCGACTATAGATGAAATCGTTTATCATCCTTATGTTAATTGAAATCTGATGGCCGAAAATTGACATTGCTTTGCACTACATTTATGTAGACTTTTGCGAATTCTCTTCTTTTATTCGCCAGATATACGCATTGAAATTTATCATTTTCTGATATGATAATCTCGAGAATGACGATTCAGAAAACACATAGATAGACATTCTTGTATTGTCTTATGTATTCACGCATCAAAGAAGGTGTTGGATTTGAAAAAAATCTTTTTCTTTTGTCAGAAACTCTTATAACTGTTTCAAATCACAATGAAATATATATTTTAAGCTCTTTATTCCCTACAATTCACATTGTTAAAATAACTTTTATTCTCTTCAGTATCTAAATAAGAGTATTTTTCGGCATAAAATTTATGTTTCAAATAGCATATCTGACGCAATTTGTACTGTTTTTGTTAACGGTATATTGAACAATAAAACTAGGTAAATACTAGAAGTTGCAATATGAGTAATTGAATACTTTTGAAAGAATGATAAACGATCTGCTATGATTGTATCGCCAAAAAAAAATTAAGCGAATCAATAGATTGTTCTAAAATTTTTTTTTTTTTGTAATATACTAAACACTAAAGGATGTAATCTGACGAAAACCGGATGATTGTAGCTCATCTAGCTTTTGAGATATATACAACAGTATATAAAACAATTTATTAGACAGATTAATAGTCCAAATATATCATAATTCTTCAGTTGGTTTGATAATATAAGAATCTCGATCAAAACTATACACTTCTGAATTACATATTGAATAGTTTCGTAAAAATCGAAAAAGATGTTGAAGATGAACTAGTCATAATCGTTTTCAAGTTTACAACCAATCTAAAAAACAATCTTTCAGTCATCGCAATACTCAACCAAAATTGATTTCACCCACACTCATTCATCATCAAATGATAATTATTTATTCGTGTCCGAAAAATAAAGAGTACCAATATTATGTTGTTCTCGTCGAATAATAACGAATAAATCTTCTCCATCTAAACTACAGATGTCCAGACGTATTTCTTTAGATAGAAGAATGATCTATTGACTTGAAGCAGCAAGTCCATATCTATAAAAATAAAAAACTTTTCCTAAATTACCTTTTCCTGTAAGTTAGAAACATTGATTCGATCGATTGATTGTTTGCTTTTTATTGTTTAGATGAAATAATTTGTGTAAAAACTTAACTAATTATGTACAAGAAAGGATGAACTTATCAAATTGCATAAGTTAGCCTTGATAAAAGTAATAATAACTATCGGATAGAAAATGAACGAAGAACAAATAAGAACAGATCCAATAAACACTAATGTGCTACAAAAGAAAAGAATAAAAAGGAATTCTGTTCGAAATACCGAAATAAATAAGACAAAAATGTTTCTTTAATCATCGATTACTCATATTGGGTACATTGAAGATGTTGCATCTCATTTTCACGTATATGAAAAGAATCGTGTTGGAATGTTGTCAACATTAATGACAATTGATCTGATTATTGCTGAAAGTTCATATATACATCCAGATATATTGGAAGGATGATCATTATTAACAAAAAATTGTTTCATTGAATTCAAGTGATGATGATACAACATTGACACGTTATTTTACTCAAACACACCATATATCAAAACTAATGTAAGTTGAAGTAAATTATTCATGAATGAAAAGTTTTGTTGAAGGTTCTCTTATTTAATAGAAATATATTCTAAAAACTCTGACTTTCAATCTTTAAAATTAGAATAACCACTTAACAGCGTTACTATAGAAAATGTCAGATGACGATGGTGATAGTCCATTAATAGAATATTTCTTAGAAATATAGGATAAAAGAAAAAGGTAAAAAATAATAAATATCTACAAGTACGAATTTTATCAGCGAGAACAGTAAGTTTTTTCGAATAATAAATTAAATTAAAGTGTATATTGTCATTTTTGTAGTGAAGCAGTAACATAATGATGAACTCAATAGACTCATTTTTGTAAATTATAAATAAAAAATGATATTGCTTTGTTTCTTTAGAACTACCATCTATACCTGATAAACCATTACAAATAGTAACTATAGATTGAATATCAATACTTCTCTCATAAGGGTGTGGGTTTAGCTGTTATGTTAAGCGATACCTGCATCCGCACCCCACACCTCACACTCACCCACATCCCATCCCTACACTTCACACCCTTTCTAACTAAAATCGGTAGAGATATCCAAGACACGAATCCTTCTTCCTTAGTTTAAAAGTTACAAAAACAAAATATCATCATTGTAATGCATGTTTGATTTTTTTGCATAAAGATAGAAACTTGTGTCACGAATAAAAAACACCTGGTCACAGAGTTGATTGCATGATTATTTTGAGTTTTTTCTGAAAATGCTGCTATGACAAATAATAAAGATCAACAAAAGAAAGTACACGAGCAACGAATGAGTCAACGAAACAAGTACACACACTAATGCGGTTTTATTATTGTTTCCAGTGTTTTTTTCTTTTTTTGTTCATATTTGTACAGTTAGTGTCAATGTGAAGATAGAATGTGTAAATAAATAGCTTCTAAAAAAAAGTAAGATTGCATTTTTCTTTCTTAGCTTCTTTCTTTTGATGTGATTGCATCTAACCAAGAGCTTTTTGTTACTGTCTGTCTGTGTGTCTTCTATCGTATTGGCTAGTTCAAATCAATCAGAATGCATTAAAAATCAATTCAGTATTGTTCATTACATTACATTTATTCAGGTCCTCTCCATGGTCATTGATTCACACGCATTTAATGTCGTAAAAATCTATAGACTAAGTATGATTAACATCATATTGAAAAGAGTGTTAAATTCGAACTCATGTCCAAGAATCTTTAAAAGTTTGTCATGATGCAAATAGAGGTTTTCCATAAGCTTAAATATTTTTTGCAAATGTTTATATTGTGGCCGTATACGATGGGGGATGTGGATGTAAGTGCAGAGAACACCTGCACTCACACCATTTTTCGTGGGTTTCTTAGCATTACTTGGTAAATGTCGTCCAGATTTATCGATTGATATCAAAATCAAAGTGGACCGCTACCATTGTAGCAGAAGACTAAGTGGTATTCTCCATAGGATTTCATTCATGGTATGCGACTTGAATCATGTCCTTATGTAAAGAAAGAGATAGAATGATTGTTTCTCATATGTTCATACACCATTCAGCAGAGAACTAAAACAGCTTAATCTTTTACATAGATCGGCTTAGCATATGAGCGAATGGATAGAGTATTTGATTCCATTAATCTACGATTTCCAATAGTCGAAATGACAAAATACGTAAGATAAAATTGAATCTTATGAGAAAGTACGGACGATTTTGTTTATAACGAGCTCCTCCTGTTTGTGAACTTTGTCGTTTTTCAAGCTTTAAGGTGATTAAAATGAAGACAGCATAAAAAGTTAAACATCAGTCTATTCGATCAGTTGATTTTGTTCATTTTAGCTGCAAGAACAGGTCCTTTTTCTAATTGTGAAAGCTTCTCAGAATACTTCACACTATCAAGCTCTATATGTTTCACACATAATATATTTCTAAATAATTTCTATGGCGAACTGATATAAAGAATTCCTTTATAAATGAAAGAAAAGTTTTTGGCTTTCAGACCTGGAAGAGAATACGGGCATAAGGTTACAGAAAGGAGATCTGTTATTTTTATTTCGCGCATATAGGCTTGATTTATGTATGAAACTCTAGAAGAATCTATACATATTTCTTATTCATTTCAAAAATAATTTGTTCTGTTTAGGAAGAAATTATAACAGTTAATCAGAAATGCTCTGCTGATTATCGATACATAAAAATTTTAATACAATTTTTCAACATTGTTAAAATATAGTCAATATATCTGTTCCTTCACACAAGAAAATAAGTTATTCAGATAGTGTGAAATTTTCTGAGAAAGTTTCACGTTGGTACTCATGGGTTTTATGGCACGGAGTTGAACATACTGGAGTATGATATAGTTAAGATATAATGTAGACCTTATAAAAAGGACCATTTTTACGTATGAAGAAAGCAACTATAAAAATTATTCATTATAGAAAATTGTAGGACATCTACAACTGTATCGAATGGAGTTCAAAAGCAAAATTCACATATATTTATCTTAAACCAAAATCCATCTTTATTAATTCAAAATATCTTCGTCTTATTGATAGCTGGTTCTTGAATATTCGTTGTTACTCAATGGTATCTTATTATTTGAATGGTTACTATTTATTGACATATCAAACAGAAACACTGAACAATAGTTCGAGATTTATAAAATATTTTGATCTAACATGAGTATATTAGTATGAATAGTTTTTGTTGATTATTTCAGATGACAACTGTTTACAATGAAAAGTAAATTAATAAAGAACATGATTCTTCAGGGCGTCGAAGACAGACAGTCATAGTGTAGAAAGTTACAAATTCAAACACTTTAGTGATAAGACAAATAAAATTTTGTTTGTTTTATGTGCCCATTTATCAATCCGAGGTATTGTAGAATTCTCATGTCTAAACAACATTCAATATAAAATATACATTTTTCTTTACATATAACAGACAGTAAAATCCTACTAGAAGTAACTAACGCTAAAATAAAAAATGAATCATTAACGAGTAACAGTTGAACGCATAAGTATTCAAAGTATAAATGATCGAAAATCAATCAATATGAACAATAACATCGTTCATTCTTTACACAAGAAAAATACATAGATTTTGTTTTAATTTTTAATTTCTCATTTATTCAAACACTAAGAGAATATAATATACAAAGTACAAAACAGAGAATTGAATATTGTATGGCATATGCTGTATTATAATACCATTCAGGACGTTGATTACCTTTATTCGAATTAAAATTATTATTCATATTAGAATCTTGTTGATTTAAATAACGATTATTCATCCATCTTTGACCAACTGGACTATAAAGACCATATTGTGAACCATATTGTTGTTGAACATAACCATATCCAGTATACTGTCGACGATGACGACGAGCAGATTCAGTAGCTAGAAAAAAATCTACTTGAACCATTAGCATTACAATCATCGTCTCTCGCTTACCTAAGATAAGAAGATATATAACAACAATAAATAAAATCTTTTTCATGTCTAGAAAGATTCTTCACAACTTTGTGCTACTAACAACTGTATTATATATAGACAGACAAAGTTTTACTCGTCCTGTTTAAGTAATTGTGAACATATATATATATACATCTACCTAAAAGAAGGTCATATAGCGGGTAGTTCGCTTTTTTCTTTCGTTCGATCGCTTTCTCTGTTAAAACATTGAGCTCGATAATTGAACATACAGATTCGTAAGTGATGAAAAAGAGAAGTAAACTGCTAAGTATAGAGAATCTGAGTATACATAATGACAAGTCTTTTTCAGTTTTTGATCCATGTGCCTGTTTAGTTCAGTGGTAGAACGTCGCTCTCGTAAAGCGAAGGTCACAGGTTCGATCCCTGTAGTAGGCATCAAACTTTTTTCTTTCCTTTTCTGTCAATTGATATATTAATGGTTCTGTTATGCAACATGAGAATCGAGTATTACTCAAATATTGTTCTGAGTTTCTGATTGAAATTCTACAAGAACGTAAGCAAGGAACAATGTCTTGTTTGAAAAATTTTTCTTAGCTTGAGCTATTGCAAAATAAAATCATTGTTTTTTTTTCTCTTCTTTTGAAAATTCAATTCAAATAATAAAATAAAAATAAAGTATATTTTATTTGGTTTAATCTCTTTAAAAAAAAACAATTACATATCATACATGGAATACATTAAACCAGAAAGTACCGAATCAACAAGTATTTCTAAAACAAAATATTGTTATTCAAATTAAATCTAAATGGCAAAACTAACCTCGATTATCGTGATTCCAAGGACAATAATCACTTATAGAAATACATGGTCCATGTTCAAGAATATTTTTCATTTCATCATCATTCAAATCTTGTTCTTGTTGTTGTCGATCATTTTGATTTAATTCATTTTCATTATCATAAGGTGGAATTTGTAAAAAACGTCCTAATTCTTCTGGCATTATTGATTGTTGTTGACATCGTCTTAATATATCATTTAGATATATTTCTAATAATTGTCTTCGTTGTTCAATTACTTTTGTACTACGACGATGTAATAAAACTTTACGTGGTAATTGTGGTACAGATAAACTTGATGATAAACGTGTATGTAATGCTTCAAATTCACGATAACGACGATCAATTGTATGTGATATATGATTTGTACCACCACGTACAGTTATTTGATAGACCTATGCCAAAAAAAAATTTCTTTTTAATATAAAAAAAAAGAAAATATTTTTACAGTATATTTTTCATCACTATTTGTTGGTTCAATTATTCGAGTATTATCAATTGATACAGTGAATGGCATAGATATCATCGTGAACTTTTAATTGAATTTTTAGTTAAAATAATAAACATGAAGATAAAATAGATGCAGAGCGAACAAACGATTGAATGAAAAAACAAACGAGTAGATATTCTTGTTAGACAGATGTCACTCATGCAAAGTAAATCATTTAGTCAAATATAGAAAATTTATTAGAAAATAAATTAATTAATGTTTTATAATTTGATCGAAAAATTCTAATAAAATCAATTAAAGTCAGTACAGATTAGAGCTGTAACCAGTTTAATTATTTCTTCCTGAATGTTTGTAAAAACTTGAATGTAAAAAAAGAGAAATGAATGTTTTTTGAATCGATTTCTATTAACCAATTAATAATGATCCAACAAATCGGCTGGAATGAACCAGTTTAAAAATTTTCAATTGTTTACAACTGTGGTATAGATATCATACACAGCATGGATACATATGTGTCAAATACCTATCACTGGAAAAGCTCGAGCTCTGTCTTAGAATAGAATAGCACTTTTGAGTTCAACGTTTCTCACTTGTTACAATACATGAACAAATCGACAGCATTTTCGTATTATATGGAAATATACACTAAGCACTCATATTTGAATATTTCTGAACTACCTATTTAGATATTTCTATCAAGAATTTACAATGTATTCTTTATTCTTGTAAATATAAAACTTACTTCTATCTATATTATTAAGAACAAAACGGAAATTAGGCACTTCAAGTTAGTCAAATAAGTAATTCCATGTATGTATATATATATGTCACACTTCTGTAACTGATTTTTTCGAAATGTTTATTGTATCATGTTTGTGTAGTAAAGCATTTTTCTTGATAATAGAACACAAAAGAACTTTAAGAGATCAGAAAAGAACGATGAACGAGTCTTTCAAATTTATCTGATATATGTGTTCTAAACATACATTCAAATTGTTCTTTTTATGCACACTTAACTCTTTATTCGCACTTAACGAGTAAACAAACAGTTTTGCGATAAATTGGCTTTGTTTATATAGCATTGCGATGTAATGGAATACAATGTTTAGTATAAAAATTAACGAGTTTTATCAAAAATATTTCCTGTACAGAACAAAACAATCATCAAATCAAGAGTATCAAGAAATTCTGTGGCAACCTTTTTTTGAATGTAGAAAAATAATGCATTTTATTGAAGAACACTTTTATTGGCATTTAAACATCTTTTGGTATTACTGGATTTTAATCATTGGTAATTATAGTCCAAACAAAAGTAATTCGACTTGGGAAGGGAGACTTTTGAAAGTTAGAGATTTCATATGAAAAAGAAACTATATTGAGTCTTCCGTTAAATTGAGGTTTGAATTCAACTATGTATTGTTGTTTAGACTCTAGTAACTTTCCCCAGTATGTTTTATTCTAAGGTTTTTATAGTCTTTAGAAAAGATTTCCGATCTAATTTTTTAATATATATTTTCACATTCGACATTTTGTTTTTTTTTTTCTAGAAAAAAGAAATAGGTGAAGTCTCTACGGTAATTCGTTGTAATACCATATACAAAAGAAACAATATATTAGAAATAGACTAAACAGGATAAAAGTCAATCATTCTGAGATTTTAAGAAAATCTTTTATTATATACTCTAATATAGTATTGACAATCATGTTTTTCTTTTAAAGCAAAATTGTTTTCATATGTCTATCAACTGAAAAACTTAGTCAAAACGTGCTTAAATTTATAATAAACATGTAGATTTCTGCGAAATGATCCTTTTCGATGTCGTCTTTTCTAAACTTCCTAAATGTATATTTCTTTTTCTTTGGCATTATCGAAAATAAACAAAAACTACTTTCAACTTTAACCTCATGGCTGCTACCTTTCAAGCTTTTAGTCATTTGTTTTTCTTTCTTTCTAGTGATTACTAATACAACAAAAGTTGTCATCTTCATTGGTAATGGTATTTTTTTTTTACATAAAGGAATTCACAAATTTCAAATATACTTTCAGTCATAAAATGGAAAATTTCAGATGAAGCTGTAGGATTCAAAAAAATATTAGTCACACATCTGTCCTCTGATACAAACCTTTTCTTTTCGTTTCTATCGTTGCATTTAGTCTAAATGTATAAGAGCCCACTAATGTTAAGCATAGTTTCACCTTTTATTTTAATTGAATTGTTTTGTTTTTATCCTTCAAAAATACATTGAAAAATATCGAATGCTATTACAACTATGTTTGTTGACATTCGTAACGGCATATAATTCAAAGATGTTATTATTCGTTATACAAAAAAAAAAAAAGTAAAATAAAATAAAAGTTCAATTCTCATCATTGGATGATTATGAATATACATATGTATTCTCCAGAAAAAAAAAACATTTCTTTCTTATTAATGACCAAAGCAAACACCGAAACAAGCAAATAGAAAAACAACAATATAAACTACACAAGTAACTACCATAGCAACAGCACAAGCTAATTGTGCTTTGATATATGATACTTTATCATAAGGTATAGACGGACATGTTTTTGATGAGATTGTACCTAATGTAAGAGCATTAGTACAATCTTGAAGAACACCTGTAAAGTTACTGCTGAATGTTGGAACACCACGCATTATACAACATAATGTATCACCTAAATAACATTTACATGGTTCATTCATAAAAAGTTGATCAAAATAAATGACCACAATAGCTAATAAACCACTAACGACTAAAAGAGAAAATCAAATTTTTAATAAAGCAAATAGAAAATTAAACTATTGTTACTTACTGGTCATAATGAAGACATAAAAGGAATTACAACGTCCTCGACAACAACAAGCTTTAAAAAAAACAAACAAATGAACCCATTAGAATAAGACAAAAAAGAAATTTTTTTTAAAAAAAATATTTACTGATAAAAAACATTTGAAGAAATGTTATGATAAAAATAATACTAGCCCAAATTCCGACCCATATTGTACCATGGCCAAGATCAATATAATTAGAAACTATTTCTAAACCAAGAATACCAGCGGTTAACACCAATTGAACAATGCCTATAACTGCTGTAATCCATCGAGGAAATCGTTCTGTAAAACCCATGATATTTTCTTTTGCTTGTAATATCTAAACTTTTTTTTTGTAAATAAAATTTTTCCTACAAATCGATAGTCGAACACGTGAATAAACTAGAAGTAAATTAATCAACAACTGATGCCTTTATAGGTGTATATAATGTTTTGCTTAAGAAAAGAAAAGAAAATAGAAAAAAAATCTAAGCGAGAAGTGTTGCCCACTTTCTTTCTGAAGAAAACAAAAAGCAATTTGTACAAAAAACAAGTATCTTAAGTCAGATACTGAGTGACGTATGTGGATCGAAAAGAAAAGAGAGAGAGAAAGAGAGACAAACGAATAGAATAAAATAAACCTGTCGTGACAAATTCTCTGAATTTTTTTTCTTTCATTTCTATACACTGCTGTTACTTTTTTTCTCAAAGACTTCAATAACTATGTTAACTGTTGTTAATGTAAATGTACTTCAATTTTTCTTCACTAAAACACTTGAATTTGTGCATGGATTAACAAACTATGAAGACTGCATTCCAAAAACTTATATGTTGATTACAAGGACCGACGACAGATTGAAATGTTAACAACTCAATGATTCTACCAAATCTACATAGGAACTGAAACTCATTTACAAGTTTTATTAGAATACTATGCAATATATTTAAGTAAAAAAATCAAAGATGTTTGAACATTTCAACAACAACGATATCGTATAAATTATCCATGTGAAGTAATAAGAAAATTTTATGTTGGGTTATGATGTCCATCATCCATTTTATGAATAATAGTGTCGAAAAAAAAGTACTACATGATTATAAACATCAGTACCTCTTTCATCACACGGCAAATGATAAAAACAACTCTTCAAAACATTGTTCTAAATCATTTCTATTACTAAATTCTTATTCACAAATAAGTGGATCTTGGAGTTTAATAATAATTTTTTGATGATGAAAATACTTTTCAAATATTTTTTCATATTTCCTTTGAATGTTGATAGAGACTTACTAAACAGACTGTCCACAAATGACTTCGTCCTAATAATAGAACGTTTTCTTTTCAGTTCATGTTAGGGTATCATTTTGTCTCATTTGAAGTATTATTAATTTTTGTGAATCTAAGGTTATCTAGAAAGTTCGTTCTTTCGTTAGGAGGTTTGTTTTTCTTTGTCTTCAAAAAGCCTTTGAAAACATGACTTTGTTTGAATGTACCATTTGAAATTTATTACAAAAGTACACAACTCAACGTGATGAAGAAAAAAAGGACAAAATGTTGAGTATGGTGTGTTTTTTTTTGTTTATTTTTCTACAAATATTTACTAAATTAAAACAAGTATTTCATGCAACCTTTGTAATCAACATATTGAAGTATTCAACAACAAAAGAATTGTTGGAAGAGACTTTGTCTTCATAGGGATTAGTTAAATCAAAGTAGCACAATTTAAGCCACATAAGACGATGAAGTTTACTTTGTCATGCATATTTTAATATGCTTTCTTTCGATACATGTGTGGCTGCTTAAAGACAAGACACTATTTTTCTCAATAATTAATGTAGACTAGTATTTAATATTGTACTTATTGGTTATTGTAATACAAAAACCGTTGAAAAAAAAGCAACCAACATTGACTAATACGTGCAACAACTTGTATGTAAGATGCCAAGAATGGAAAACTCAATTGTGCGCAATGTTAGTTTTATTCATATATTGTTTTATAAAGTGTGATATAGTGATCACAATATATGGCTTTCGGTTTCTTCGGTCAACTTATTAGAGAATGAATTTGAAAATGCTCCACAAATATGAAAATGGATAAAACAAGAATCGCTGATTTATGAAAACTTCAAATTTTTTGTCATTTTTTTGCTAGAACATTGTAAAATAAATTCTGTTTTTATTTGTTATCTAAAACTGATCCTCCAAGTATCCGAGTTTCCAAACCAATTTATATAGTGTTTCTGTGAAGGAACCTAGTCAAGTGTCTTACTTTTAATTAGAGCCTTTCGATAATAAGCTTTAGCAGCACCTATAGTCGCTGCTTAAATTTTTATTTCTGATTTTATTTTGTCGAAAGATAGGCCACTATTAGCGACCTATGAATTCAAAATATCAGCTCTTTCTCATTCGTCCATGTAAAATCCTCAAGTATACATGTGGCATTACTTTTGATCTTTAGTGAAAAAACGCTGTTTATACGGTGCCGTTGGTATTTTGCACGCTTGTCAAAGTTGTATAACTGAATAACCTGCACAATAACATTCAACAATTAACAATGACAATAGACGCGCAAAAGCAACGATTGGCTAAAACTAAGATTTTCTAGTTTTTCGACTCAGGCCACGTGAACTCTCACCATCTGAAAATCGTTTTATATGTTTTCTGAAAAACTTTGAAGTTCTTCATCGTTTAACGTATTTAAAAAAATACCTATTTAGCTTTTTTATATTTCACTGGATTTCTTAGAAGATTGTATTATCTCTGATATTAGTAGCAAAAATATACAAACTATTAAAATTTTCTTCATGCTTGGCTGTTTTTATTTTTATTACTTATTTTCGTAGGAAAATAAATAGCATATTCTGAATCCATTAAAAAATCTGTGCCGCTTTATAACTACTTTGACAAAATTTAATTTCGAATGAAAAAACTCATAGAATCGATTTTTCATAGAAAATAAATTTTGCCAAAATCTATCTGATTCAATGTAGTTTT